ACTTCATTTTTACAAATTTTAGTATTTGGAATATCTCAGTGCATGTTAATAATGTGATAACTGTGAGGGATAAATTACTTTGGTATCAAATTACATCTTGTGATGTTGGAAGGAACTCACTTTACATTCCTTTGAAAATTAGCTTTTAGTTTAACCCTTAATTGTATGGTTTTTTAAAAACTCTGAACTTCTGAAGATGCTAAGATCTTTCTTCCCCTATATCTTTCTTATTCTTTCATTCCTTCAGAAAGGATAAATGAGCAGTTAACTAATGCTGACATGAAACAATCTCACTCAGAAGTTTTTTTCCCCTATTTTGTATCTTTCCAAACAGTATACTCTGAATTGAAAAATCCTTCTAATTTTTAAATTTCAAGCACTAGGTCCTCAGTTGATCTACAATTTTTTCAAATTTGTTACCCAGTCCTTTCTTTGTCAAGCCTGTGCCTTGCCACTTAGAATCTCTCCCTGGTGGGGGCAGAAGCTGGCCTTCCATCCCAGGTGTGGTGAGTATAGGTGGTGGCTCATAGGCCCCTCCCCCTATACTCACCCCACCCTTGCTTCCCAGCACCTGAGGATGTCAAGTCTGATTACCTTTGCCTTCATCTTTCTCATAGTAAGGAGATCCACAAGCAGCATGCACGTGAGCCAGGGAGAAGCCCTGGGTCTTTGCCCCAATTGACCTTCACAGGACACAAAAATGCCTTCCTAAGGCCAAGACTGAATTACAAGTCAGACCCACACAAGCCTATCTGAGTTGGTTCTGTCCATAGCACAGAATGTGTGTTGCCTCAGGAAGCATCAGGCTCCTGAGAGACCGCATGTGGACAGAGAGGGGCAGCTCAGTAGCTGTAGGTTTCCCAGGTTTGCTACGAGCCACATAAGGTGCTCCCTGGCTCTGTGGCTCTCCCTGCTTCTTTCTAGTTGCTCTTCCCTGCTAGCTTGGCCTTGCATGGATGTTGGCTTGCCATGGCCCCTTCTACCTCAAACATCTTTTTTCAAGCTGCAGTTGATGATGCCTTGAAAATATAGTTTAGTGCTAGCCCTGTTTCACAGGTAATGAGTTTCTTTTCCTTCCTGGTTTTTTACAATTTGCGTGAGACTGGATAAAGCAAAGTAGGAGAATCAGGTATGCCTGATGAGCCTAAGTCAACAGGTTGCAGCCAGCCACTTGAGAGCTGTTGACTGGGGGGAGGGCTTTGGGGGAGCACTAGGGGACTGCCCAACTAGGATGGGTGGGTCGGTGGGGACTGTGCTTTCTAGCTTCTGCAGCAGTTTCCTTCAGAAGAGACCAGTGAACATGGCAGAGCCCTGGCCAGCCTGGCACAGACCACCTTACAACTCAGCATTAGCCACACACTGATTGATTTCACCCACTTGAACTGTTCCCCTGACTCTGAGATAAAGGGCCTAAGTGGTGGCAGAGGTACTCTTGTAAGGAAACCGCGTGAGACATCTCTTTGGGGAGGCTACTGATTCTTTCTCTTTTTTTTTTTTTTTTTTTGGTTTCCTTTGGGTATGGCTGGCTCTTCCTGCCAGTGACTTTTGGCGTCAGCTCCTCTAACTTTCTCTTGTCTTATAACAAGGTGGAACCGAGGAAAAGGGAAGGTACCAGGTTCCCTGTCCTACCCAAAAAGAGGGTGGAGCTGAGGGGAAAAGAGAGGAGTCTGGAGAGGACTGAGGAGGAAGGAAGCAGGATATAGATCTGGAAGGTGGCCTGAGGGAGTCACATAGAGCACAGAGACATGTGAAGAAAGTTCCTTTTCATTAAAGATCTTACATGTTTTGTCTTGATGCGGTAGATGGCAGAACCTATTTAGAGCAGGCAGGTTTGAGGTTTCAGGGGTGCCCCTCTCTCCCTTCCCTGTAAATGCCTCTTGTAGGAGTAGTAAATGCCTCTTGTAGGAGTAGTTAATGAATTATAAAAACTTTGAGTGTTTCCTAAGATCAGGCCTTGTGATTAGCCATGGGACCATAAAGTGGTAGACAAAACAGATGCAACTTCTACCTCATGGAGTTTTAAGTCTAATGGGAGGAGGTATGAAATAAATAATTGCCATTACATGGGTGGGTGCCAAGCAGCAATATTTGAGGTGCATCTTGAAGGCCAGTAGATATAGTCACTTGGAGGGAAGAGAGGAATGTTCCAGGCAGAGAGACTATAGGGCTCTGCAGTGGAAAATGCTGCCTTGTTTCTGAAAATTTGAGGATGGCCATGCCAGGCCCCTTTGAGGCAACTCTTCCCCCCATCAGATCCCACACACTCCCGCAGAGCGGGGGTTCTCCAGCACAAGCCTCGTGGTTGGCATATAATAAACAGATACTCAGTAAATTAGAGGTATTGATCACAGTCTTTGAACTGCTTTCTGTTAGACTTTCTTTATGTTAAGTATGACATATTGCTTGTAAAAAGGTCTGAAGCAACTTGATTTTTCAAAAGCTGCTTTCCCAGCTGTGCTGGCTGGTGGAACCCCTTGCAGAAGGCACTTTGCCAGTCAGCCCTGCCTCCCCGGCTCTTCATATGTTTTCTTCTCCCTGGTGGCTTGGCCCTTCCTTATAGAAACTGGCCATTGGAATTTGGAAGGAGTGTTTCAGGAGTTCTTATATGGACTCCTGCAGAGATGAAGGATCTTGTAACTGTCTCTGAATCACAAGTAAAGCATCCGTTCTCTAGGTTCCTTTGGAAATCTTTTTACATAGGTAAGGTGTCTGTGCCATTACAGGTCACTGAAGAATTAGCCTTTGAACTATTTTAAGTCATCCACTACTGTAATCATTCTCATTTTAAAATGCATTCGGTATTTTCCTGTGCTTTTAGATGATTTTTTTTTTCTTTATAACAAAGAGGCATGTATTTTCAAGGGAGTGATGCTATCAGTGTTTCTTGAGGGTATGTATGGCTTAACACTCTTACTCACTCCAGACACTTGAAAACATAACAAATATAAATTTTATCCTTCTATCTCCTACTTTGTAATGAGGAAATTGATTGTAACTGTGACTGCTCTCAACACACTTGCTTTTAAAACCCTTGATCTTTTACATACAAGGAATCCAAATAGGGAAAGAAGTAAGACTGTCCTTATTTGCAGATGATATATTAATTTACATGGAAAACCCTAAAAAACTCCACAGAGAAACTAATCAAAAACATCAACCAGTTTAGCAAGGTAATCAACACAAAAGTCAGAGGCCTTCATATACATAAAACCCTTGGTCTTTTTACTCTGTTGGTACTGATAAACTGTAAAGTTGGAACAATACAATAAAATTAGAACCAGATTTTATTTACTTGTTCATGTATTTATTTAAACATTTGTTCCTTCACTAAATATATTTTCAGCCAAGCTTTGTGCTAAGCACTGGGATTACCAAGCTGCATGAGATGTGTTCTTTGCCCTCCGAGATCCCTCTAAAGAAGCAGTGGGGGACAGTGGTGGGGAAAAGGGCCAGTGGAGACAGTAGGAAGGAAGCCTGCCCAGACCCACCTGCCACTGGTCCGAGTGTGAGTGAGCCCCCAGTAATGGACTCCTCAAGTTCTTACTCCATTAAGTATAGATGCTCATTGCGTACACATTAGGAGTTTTTGTTTTAGCTTCAGAGATATTTCCTGTGTCTGTACCATATTCTGCAGTCTGTCATGACCAAGCTCTAGACAAGTGAGGTCTTACTGAAAATAGTTAACATTATTATTAACACTGCTGAGCCATATTAAGCTACTAATCCCAGGTCACCCCTCTGATCCACACCTTTTCCCCCTATATAATAAGTCATTTATAAGGGAATGCCTGTCTTTTCCCCCACAAACTTATCACTTAATGTTTTAGAGTCCATCAAAACTCTAAATCAGTGTGGGTGTCTCAGAACTCTGACTTTTTAGTTGTAGCACTTCTGCATTTATTGGCTGTCGGTGTCCCATAACGATCATTCTATCATCCTTCTCCCTTCCTTTCTCCCTTTCCTTACACATTAGGTTTGCATTGACCCACTTGCATCACAATACAGCCATTATTCTTTTTGGCAGGCACCCTCTCCCAAGTGTAGGCAGATGATCCCCTTTTAGCTGGCCCCTAAACTTCATGGAATAAGCTGTGTTATTCATCCTTGAATATATCTCTGATTTTTGACAACCAGGTGTCCTAAACTCAGTTCATAGATCCCCTGCCTTATCCCTGGAATCAGCCATTTCTCAAAAAGCCCATTTAGGGCCCTCCCTGGTGGCGTTGCGGGTTAAAGCACAGCACAAAGAAGCTTAAGCCACTTCCACATGAGTTCGATTCCTGCCTGCCCCGGAGGTGACCACATGGCGTGGCAGACCTCTCCTGACCCTCCCGCTGCTCCCCTCAGCAGTGTACTTAGTCGATCTGCCTGTTCTGCTCCCCACTCTGTCTCTGGTGAATCCTCTCACCCTCCGCATCGCTGGCTTGTACCCCAGTTCTGTACGAATAAATAAATCTTTTTTTTTTTTTAAAGCCCATTTATTGCAGATAAAATTTAAAAAGCAAGACTTCAGTCTCAGGAGCTGCTCTGGTGATGTCACTGCTCCCAGGCTCTTACTGTGATCAAAACTTGAAAAACATAGTGAACGAGGAAACATACATTTGTATTGTTACTACTTCTAAAGTGTTCATCTATATAAAGATGGTTTTGTTTGTTAGAAATTCAGTTATGATCCTTTGAGTTTAAGCATCTTTCCTCCTTGAAAACAAAATCTCAAAATCCTTTATATCGGTTACTCTTATTTTTCTGAAAGGAGAAAAGAGATTGCATTAATGTTATGTAACCTAAAAAAATACTCAGAAAGGTTAAATTGGTTAGTCAACCTATTGTGTATGTGTGTGCGGAAACATGTGAGAACTCTGAAAATGTACTGCGGTATAGCTGTGGTACTTTGATCACTGTTGCTTTTTAGTAAACTCCTTTGGTATCATCTAGTTGCTTAAATCTAAAAAGAATTTCTGATGTTGCCCATGTTTCTCATTTATGCTGTTTCCTTTCAGGTGCGGCTAAATCAAGTCCGGCATCTAAACCAGGATCCACACCTTCTCGTCCCTCATCAGCCAAAAGGGCTTCATCCAGTGGTTCAGCATCCAAATCTGATAAAGATTTAGAAACACAGGTCATACAGCTTAATGAACAGGTAACTCATCATTCATGGCAAATCATCATTCAGTGCAAGAAGATAAGGTAGCAAACCCCGATGGGCTGGTGAGAACGGGTGCAGGTGAGGCAAAAGCCGAGATGTCAAGCAAGCAAGAATAAAAGAGATTGTGCAGGTAAAATCTGCAGGCTTGAGGCCCAGCCTCCTTTCCCCAGCAGCCTTGAGCTCTCCAGCCTAGACCATGGCTTACCTGCCCACTTAGGCCCAGCCAGATGGCTAGTCTTCTTTCCTACACACTTCCCCCACCTCCCCTTCCTCCCTCCTTTCCATCACCTACTATTAAGCCTGTTCTGTTGCTAATGATTTAATGGTAAGAGAGATAACCTTCCCTCCTCGCCTAGAACTCACAGCAGTTGCACACAATAGGCTGTTCAGCAAGCAAAAGCAAAAACCTGTTCCTCCAAACAGCTGAAGTTCCCTGCCACAGAAACATCGAGCCTGAAGTTGGGGGAAATCAGAAAAGTCACAGTTGTATTTTAAGTATAACTGTCTTTTTTTATCTAATAGTACTCATGGTTATAGTAAATCTAGCTCTGCTGCCTTTGCAGTGTTCAATATAAAAGCTTATGTGTACTTTCTAACTAATAAGAGCTGATTTCCCCTAAGATTATATGTAGCTTAAAAGTAATAAAAGAAGTAGTAGCATAGACCCCCTGGGGAAGCCGCCTACCTTTCCCTGCTCCTGCTGCAGGGAGAAGAACCTTTATTCTAGGTCCTCTGTGATGTCGTTTTGGACTTAGTACGGCGTCCTTGGGCTCACTCTGGGAAAAGTTTCACCAGAGCTCCCCTTTCAGCAGCGAGATTCTCCACGAGACAGAGACTCAGTTTTATTTAAAGAGCAGATTTATTAGGAAAAAGGACAAGAGTATCAGACACTTGCACAGGCACAGATGGGCAGGAGGAGCTGCCCAAAAAAGAACAGGCTTGCTGAGAGGCCTGCATAGTTGCAGGTAAGCGGCCTTAAGAGAGTGGCCTCTACTGAGGGAGGTCAGAGCAGAGAAGTCCTGGCATGGTACAGGTCACAGGCAGGCAGGAAACTGCTGCCCTGCAGAGGGTGGAAAGAAGCATCTGCATAGGCACAGGTGGACAGAGGGCTGGGGCCCTGTACTGGGCAGAGACTGCCCTGATAGAGACTTGATCTCTCTGGAAGGGGCTCACTCCTGGTGAGCCTAGATTTGTTGAATAGAATCTGAAAGGGACAGGAGATCCCACCATGGGCTCAATCTCCATATCTTTATCTTTCACCTTTTGAGTCTGTGATAGACACAGCCTACAGCCTGCTGCCATCTGCTTTGATCTTATGCTTTGGAAAGGGGGCCTTGGCGCCTAAGGATCTTGGTTTCTATAGCTGGGTCAATGGCTATGCTAATCCCTTCCTCCCCAGACTCCTAGTGTGAGTCAGTCTTGTGAAGCCTCCTTACTATCACTTCCTCCACCACTCAGAGGTGTTCCCAACCCCTCACTGGGCCATTCCTGGTAATCAATCTGCATCTTGATGAGCCAGCAAGAGTCTGGAAACAGTTTCTGAGATAATTGTATATTTGCAATCAAGAATATAGTTTAACAGCAGCCAGTTATTTAACTAGGATGTTTCTTTACAATTCTGACCACTTCAGTGAAAAAGGTGAAACCCTAAGTCACCTAGTGAATCGGACTTTGATTTAGAAACTAGAATGTTCTAATGACCTGCTGATTCGTAGTTTGAGTTCATCTAGACTTTCCAATAATGAGTTCTCAGATAAAAGGCAGTTAAGACAGCCGTAGTGAGCCTTAGGGTACTTTCCTAAGAGTCCAAGCAAATCAGGGTAGACCTAGAGAGAATTAGGTCATGGCTTTTGGATTTATGATTCTTTTTCTCCTTGGGAACTCAAATTTTTTGGGGGGGACATCTTTATTTTCTCAGTTTCCTTGTGACTTCTCTCCTGTCATCCCCTCTCTGTGCCCAGGCTCACAATCCCCCATCCTGTGTGATCACAGGGGACCTCAGAGTCCTTCTGCCCTTCATGGCCTCAGCCAGTCAATGTCAGTCCCCTTAGCTGACTCTCCAATCACACCAAAAGCCACACAGCCCCAGGGGACCTAGACCTCACCCCACCATCCAAAATGCTACTAGAGCAAGGAAAGAGAAACACTCCAGTGATCTCCCCACTTATTATAATTTCTCCTGTACTGCAAAGAGCTTCATTCCCCTACCTTTGCCTCGTTTATCCTTGACAAGGAAATTCTGAGACTTCATCCACAAGCTCTGACTAAACACTTCCTCTGTTCAGTTTCCATGACTGTTTTGTTCCTTCCATTTCCTGTCCCTAAAGCCTGCAGCTACACCCCACACCACCCCTCCTGACAAGCTGCTCACTAACTACAGGGGTGGACAGGCATGGTATGTAGGAACTGAGGACCCTAGGATGGGAGGCTGAGTCAAATATCCTGCTGAAGAGTGAGTTACAGTAGCAGTTGAGCAAGTGACAAGTGCATAAACTTTAAGAATTCTTTACTCCCCTGACTTACTATATGAGTATTACTAAGCCAAACCATTCCATTGGCAGAAATTAATCAAGACACACAAGGAGGAAAAGACATGACTTAACTGAAGGACTGTCTGGACAGTGGGTTAGCAAACAGGCAGTGGGTTGGAGTCGCATCTGTCCATGGGGGCCACCAGGGAACTGGACTGGAAAGTGGTTCAAACCTCCTGGGAGGAGGACACTGATGGGTAGGAAGAAATAGGAGAGAACTTCTCCTCCCATCTCTTCTCCTTGAGTTTTCCCAAGGGCTCCTCTTCCAAATCCATCAATGAAGCTCTACTGTGATGTGAGGGAAGTGTTACAGGACAGGGAGAGGGGCACCACTGAACCCCCAAACCTGCCTGCTCCAAATAAGTTCTGCCATCCGCCGCATCAAGACAAAACATATAAACTTTAATGAAAAGGGACTTTAGTACAGTAAGTATACAATACAGAAGACAAAGAATATAATTTCTAAATCAAATACCTGAAGTTACCCATCCCCTTGTGGGCAAAGTCAACCCAAAAGGGATTGGCCCAAAGCCAGGCCTGAAAGCTGCCACAAGACTATAAAGCACCTTCTGGCCAGGACCCATAGAAAAGGGTCAGAAATGGCCAGAAAATCTGGGAGGAAAAGAGCAAAATCAAAATCAATATAAACACTGCCATAGTCACCTCCCTACAGGTATCTCACCCACATCTGCCTTAACCAGTCCAGGGCCAAGAAACAAGCATGGTTCTTCATCACATGCTTGCTGCTCCTTGTGGCTTCCTCAGGTCTCCTTCTGGCTCTTCCCTCCTGCTTTCTTTTTCTCCCAGATTTCTTCTCTTCTCTCTTTTTTCTCTGCTCAGCTCCACCCTCCTTCTGGGTGGGGCAGGGAACCTAGAACTTCCCCTTTTCCTGGGGACCACCCTGTTACAAAAGGAGAAGGCATTGGTGAGCAGGGTATGAAAATGGAATTTCATTTGTTGGTTGCTATTTCATCACACAATTTAGCTCCTGTTGGTTTTCACTTGAGTGTGGGTATAACTGTGCATCTATTGCCTAATGCATCTGGAATACCACCAAAGGCTGACCTGGCTGGTATTTCTACAGAAACCTCAGTGCTTTGCTCATTGTGTAGACTAAAGCATTCTGAAGAGGCAGACAAACCTAGTTTTCATGGGTTTAATGTGACTGGAGACCCTTCTTACCTGGTCTGAGGCAGCTGGCAGAACCAGAAACCTAATTCAGAGGGACCACAGCCCTGATTCTGACAAGATCCATGTAAGTCTACCAGCTGCACAGGAGAGGATGGACGCTGGGTATGCTCAGTATGTGTTTAAATGAGTCATTAATTCTGGATAGGTAAATATTTCATGGATGCCCAGAGTTACTACAAGGAGAAAATTTTCCATTCCAAATGTAATTGAAAATTCTGTTAAGATTAATTTGTTTTTTAAAGGTTTATTTATGCATTCAAGAGCTGGGTATAGGCCAGAGGTGCAGGAGGGTGAGAGGATTTACCAGAGGCAGAGTGGGGAGCTGAAGTACACTGCTGAGGGGAGCAGTGGGTGAGACAGGAGATGTCTGCTGTGCCATGTGGGTCACCTCCAGGGCAGGGATCAAACTCCTACTGAAGCGCTGTGGCTGCAGATTAAGTCACAGTACTCAGACTTAATCCCTTGCCCTCCAGGGAGGTCCCTGGAGATTAATTTAAATTAGATATTTACCTATGGAGAGCTGAATCTATGAAATACTGAATTTATCTCCATAAGAATATTTTCTACACGAAGCATTTTTTCAGAGGGTAGGAATGGTGGTGGTTCGAACCTGGTATAGCTGCTGTACCCCTAGGAGTGTGGCAGCCTGGGCTTTGAGACCAGGTCTATTTACATTCCTTCTGTGTTCTTCTCCCTGATGTGAGTGCTTTGCCAGACTCTCACTGTTCCTTTCCTTCACTAGTACTGGCCCTGTAACCACTGAGAATTCACACAACACTGTAGGGTCCTTGAATGAGCATGAAGAGGGGAAATGGGGTGAATGTGCTTGGCTGAGGGAACAGAGCTTCCATATCTCCCCAGGTCTCCAGTGAGGTCCCCAAAGCCAAATCAAGTGGACGGAAGCCTGATCCACTCAGCCAGCCTTCCAGTCTCACCTGGTTTTCCTTGTCAGCCAAGACCCAGCTTTCCAGTAGAAAGCATTTAGCGGGTGAGACTTCTCAGCCATATCCTTCTTCACAGTGAGGAAAGGATTCAAAACTCAAGGTGGCCCTTAATGCAAGTAATGTGAAGAAAGGAAGAGGGTCTTCCGAGTAACCCCAGTGATAGCTCTTTCCTTCTTTTTGCTAATAAAAGTAGAGATTTAAAAAAAAAAAGAAACAACTTATGACTGGGCACAGCAGACCTCTCCTGTCTCACCCTCTGTTCCCCTCGGCAGTATATTTCAGTCAGTCCATTGTTTCTGCTACCCACTCTGTCTCTGGTGAATTCTCTCACACCCCATACCTCTAGCCTTCATCCCAGTTCCAGTATGCATCTTTTAAAAAATTATGACTAGTCAATGCCTTTTTTCCTCACAACCATCCTTTATGCCCCTTTGATTCTCTCTCCTTCCCTGCCCTCTTAGCCTCGGTAACCCTGCTAATTGTTATAAGTATTTTGCTTTGTAAGATCATCTGTTGTGAGAATATCCAACATTTGTTTTTCTGACTTGCATAATTCCCTTAAAAGCCTTCCATCTTGCTGTAAGCAGTGGTATTTTGTCTCCTCTGACTGAGCATTATTCTATGTAAAGACAGACCTCATTTTCCGATCCAGTCCACTATCAGTGGACCCTCAGAGGTTTCCATGTCCTAGCTATATAAATAATAGTGCAGTAAACATTGTAAAGCACACACTTTTTAAGTTGATGGTTTTATGTTCCTTAGTTGGATACCCCAAGTGGGATGGCTGGATCAAACAGTATTTCCATTTTTAGTTTCTTAAGGCAAATCCAGATCACTTTCCAAAATGGACAGCCTTTCTCTTTTACCTCCTCCCATTTGGTCATCCCCTCTCTGAGCAGAGTATAATGGGGTAAAAGAAACATGTGCTGCAGTCCCTGTCAGCAGCAAAGGAAAGCTTCCTCAGGGCCTGTATGGGAGCATGGAGCAGAACCATTCCCCCCATCCCTAGTTAATAAACACTCAGTTGACCGCAGGCCATGACTAGTGTGCTGTGAGGCTGGGTGTTTTGGCCTACACTCAAGCTCCAAACAACAGCCCCTTTTTCCTCCTCAGACTCTCACAGCAGTCATTTTTACATGTCTGTCTTTTCAGAGTTCTAGCCTTTCTCTGCAGGCATCACTGATCACTTATTTCTTGTATTATATTTTGGGGTCTTTTTCACTTGTGCTTCTTACAGGTACACTCATTAAAACTTGCCCTGGAAGGTGTGGAAAAGGAAAGGGATTTCTACTTTGGAAAGTTGAGAGAGATAGAGCTACTCTGCCAAGAACATGGGCAGGAAAATGACGACCTCGTGCAGCGACTAATGGAAGTCCTCTATGCTTCAGAAGAGCACGTAAGTGAAGAGGGCCCTGACTCAGTTTCTGAGGTGACCCTCTTGGTCAAAGTGTGTTGATTGGCATGCTTTCAGATGCTACCCTGGGACCTTACTGAGAATTACAGCCCAGTGCATTCAGTATTCCCAGCAGAAAAGACATCATTATCACCATGATACATTGACCCATGCCTTTGGAACATGCATTCATCCATGTTCTATGGTAATACAGAAGCCTTGAGAAAGCTGGCTTATGTATACTGCCACATCTAAAATGGTTTTTGGTTCTGTGAGCAAGTGAACTGTGTGTAAGGATTCGTCTTTCCTAATAACAGATCAGAGTGTGGTTTTCCAATCTCCATAAGCCCCTCAACTGTCTATTTTTATAGCTGGTTGTCTTAGTTACTTATTACAACACTGTAAGAGAGTCCTTTATTGAAAAATACTTCTAGAATACTCCTCTGTGGGCAGGGGTATCTTTTACAGGGCTTGCTGCTCATGAGTGAATGCTGAAGGGGAGACTCCAGGTATGGCTCTGCCAGGTGATAGAAGGCAGGTGTGAGGAAGAATGGCAGAGGAACTAAATGCTCAAGATGAAGGGGTAGAATAAATATCAGAGTCCGAGGTGGATCACCCCAGGCTAAAATATGTGGAAGAGAGAAGGCCCAACAACCAGCAGCAGGAGTGGGAGCCTGACAGGTTGACCTTCCACTGAGTCACTGTTTGGTGGCAAGGGAGGACAGGCTGGATGTCTGGCTTCTCCGTATGCCAGGTCAAAACTGGTGGAGGCTTTCGGGTCTGTTTGTTCAGAGGCTCTGGATCTCCAAGATCTCGTGGTTGAGTGCATGTGTATCAGTATTTCCACAGAATGTAACTGTCCATCAGCCAGTTGACTTTGCCTATTCCCTCTGAATACTAAGCATCCATATCATTACATGATATCCATGTAAGACTTTAAGTCCTACTGATGAAATTCTCTAAAATTGTCTGGACTTGGGGATTCCCCACCATTTATTTCATTTCCTGCAAGATTTTGTTGTTTTGTTTGTTTGTTTTTTGGTTTTTTTTGGGGGTAGGGTTCAGTTGTTTTTTGATGTTTTTTGTTTTGTTTTGTTTTGTTTTGGGGGGGGGGGTTTGGTTATCATTAGCTCAGGCTATTGATGTTGATGCTCTGAGAATCTACCTGGCAAGGTCTCAGGAGCATTGTAGCTTCACAAAATATGGTTTCCAGTATTTTCAGACCTGATGGGAGAAACCTAAGGCTGATTTTAGTGGCACGTACAGGATGTTGTGTGTGTAAAGAACCCTTTATAGTCTGTCAGGCACTCCATGAATTTTGATCATTCTCTCCACAAGGTTGTTTGAGGCTAACTCCATTGAGGTCTGCATGGCTCCACATACCTGTGTGAACAGTGCATGACAGTGCTTGTTGACAGAAGAAAGGTGTGTGCAGGATGGAATCTCCCGAGCCCTGTGCTTCTAATATGAGGAGAAACTTACTCTAACTTAAGTGAGGTCTTGTCCCAAGCAGTAGGCCTGGTATTGGAGCACTTTTGGGTGGACTACAAACTAAAAGCTGACATGGACCTTTGAATTCCTGGCTAATGACAGGCGGGTCTCCTGGATGTGAATTGAGTGGGGAGAGGGTGTCTGCCTAGATGACATCAACTTCTTTTACTATTCATGTTCCCACTTCCCACCCACACATCCCAACACCAACTAGCTATGGACTGGATTCAGTGAGCCTTTCTTACAGTGAATGGACCATAAAAGCAGATACCTGAAGGAGAAGTCATACTTTAAAGCAGGTCCTCTCCTCAAATGCTTGGGATGAGAGTTGAAGAAGAGCCAAGAACTTTCCAGTTCTCCGGTCTGTTTTTCTGTTGAGAATCCTATCTGGTAGACAGATTTGTTTGTTTGTTTGTTTGTTTGTTTGTTTGTTTGTTTGTTTGTTTTATACACGTAAGAGAAACAGAGACCGTAGTTCGTAAGTGATTTAAATAGAGTCTTTGGCATTTGAACCCTAGAGCCCTTATCCAAGGCTTAGAGACAGTGACCAGGCAGTTGGACTCCAGAAAGGAAAAATAGACTTAACACAAACTGTAGGTGAGGGTAACCACAGCAAAACCTTCAAAACGCAGTTACTCCCGTCATTTTGCTATTTCCAGGATATCTTCTAACTCAGCGCTGTGTATAGACAACTCCAAAAGAAATCTGTCAGGCCGCAGTGAGTTTCCCTTGAAGAATAAGCCACTACATCTGGTCTGTACCAGGTGTCCTGTTCAGAATGTGACAACATTCCTTAACACCTTGGTTTCTGTAAGAAAGAAGGGAAACTGTCTGCTGCTCCTTCTAAAGCCCTTAAGTGTTAGCCTTCACCCTTGAGCAAAATGAGTCCTAATTTCACTTGGCAGCATCCCAGAAACATGCCCAGTTCTACCACTAAGGGAGTGGGCCTTTAAAAAGCTGGCCCTCTAGCTCAGAGAAGACATCATTTAGGGCAGGGAGTGGATAGGGAGTGTGCTTAGAGATTGCTGGGCCACGGCATCCACCACCCAGCTCTCAGACGCTGCCTTTCTGCCCAGGAACTGGCCCAGACACTGGATCCTGCTCTCAGGTCATTTGCATGCTTCTGTGGTGGGTGATTTGCCTTCCCTACAGGGGTGGCGCACTGGTGTTAGAAAGAAATGCCACCACTTTGTTCATGATGCTGCTGGTCTGACTGAATGCTCATGTGAAAGGGAGATTCTTGGAGATAGGGCAGGTGCTCGAGAGACAAAGGCTGCAGAGAGTTCCTCCTCTTCAGCTAAACATAGATGAACCTGTTATAGGGCAGGGGGAGAGGGACACCACTGAAGCCCCAAACCTACCTGCTCTAAGTGGGTTCTGCCATCCGCTACAACAAGACAAAACATATAAAACTTTAATGAAAAGAGACTTTAATACAGTGAATATACAATATGGAACACAAAGAATATAACTTCTAAATCAAACACTTGACGTTACCCATCCCCTCATGGATAAAAGTCAACCCAAAAGGGATCGGCCCAAAGCAAGGCCTGAAAGCCCAACACAAGACTAAAGCACCTTCTGGCCGGGACCCATGGAAAAGGGCTGACCCTGGGAGCAAAAGAGCAAAATCAAAATCAATATAATAAACACGGCCATAGTCACCTCCCTACAGGTATCTCACCCACATCTGCTTTAACCAGTCCAGTGTCAGGAAACAAGCACGGTTTCTTCATCACAGGCTTGCTGCTCCATGTGGCTTCCTCAGGTCTCCTTCTTGTTCTCCATCCTGCTTCCTTCTCTTTTTCTCTCTTTTTCTCTGCTCAGTTCCACCCTCCTTCTGGGTGGGACAGGAAACCTGGAACTTCCCCCTTTTCCTAGGGACCACCCTGTTACAAACCTGCATTGACATTTCAAGTGGAAGTATTTGCTAGAGGGTCTCTTCCCCAAGTCTTTATCTGGTGATGGCTGGTCTTTTATTATACTCAAACAATCCTAGAGTAGCATGTTTGGAAGGTGTAGAAATCTTAAATGGGAGTTTTACATACAGAAGTAAAAAGGTTGGTCAAATCCCAATTTCAGAAAACTAATGTTTCCAGAGTAAACCACCAGCTAGCTACCCAGACACCACCACCACCCCTTTATCATTTACCTTGATACTTACCTTGATACTTGGGGCCACAGGTATCCAGGTTTAGTTACTGGCAGCTCCTGTCTGATCGACCTGTCAGCCCAAATGCTCCGGCTTATAGTCAGGGCTTATTTCCTGAGGTACTGTCGAAGCAGCCACTGTTGAATACCCTAAAAGTCTGTTCCCCCTCAGTCAGCACCTTTTGGACACAACCTGTGTTTCTGTCACTGGACAAAGCACTGAGTATATGAAAAGAAGACAGTCCCTGCCTCAGAAGAACTACAGTCCCAGTGGGAGAGACAGACAGGAATGCGACTAACTGGAATGTGTCAGATTATGATAAATGTGATAATAGAGACATAAATAAACTTGTGTGGAGAGCACATGAACACAGCCTGGAGGGACAAACAGAGACTTCACAGAGAAGGGGACTAAGAATGTCAGCAGTGGCAGAGCTCAGATAGGGGGCTTATTTTTCAGGCAGAGGAACAGTGTGAGCAAAGCCAAGTGAGGGACAGCCAGATGTGGCTGGCATAGTGCTGGCAAAGAGGCTGTTGAGTGCCACCTTGTACATCAGAGTTCCTTGGTGATAACCCTCCCTCCTTTGCCACGTTTTCCTCCCACAGAGCCCAGGGCTTTACTTGATACTACCTCTGAACTTGCTTCTCTTTCTAATGATTATACTAATTAGAATAAGGAACTCTACTCCAATCACTCACAGCTATACACTTAGAAAGAGGGATAGACTAAGCAAGTATTAGAACTGATTAAGTAGTTGGCACTCCAGTGCTTTGGTCACATGTTTGGCCTACTTACATGTGTGGTTAAGTTCTTTGCTCGTGCATGGGTCACTTTTTTCTCAGTGAGCCCATCCAACATGGTGTTGGCTGGGAGTGTGTTGATGCCCATGCAATTGCATCACAAAAAAATGTTGTATGTTCTTAAAGGAACATTCAGTCCTATTGCTAAGCCACACTTCTCCTGATTGGGTAATCAAGAGCTCATTATTCTTTGTGAGGTCAAAACTTAAAGCCTTTGCAACTGTGACTGACTGCAGTTGATGTTCCCTGGAGTTGATGTTCCTGGGGGGCTTCCTTGGGTTATGCAAGTGAATAAATGGGTCAATGGGAGCCAAGTAGAGGAACCCCTCACTCATCTGTCTCACAGAAAGAACAAAGTAAGCAAATAAGGCCTCAAGCACTACCGAGATGTTCCAAAGTCCTTGAACTTGAGCTTCCTTATTGGAGAGGGCTCTGGTCCCACTCCAGCCTACAAAATGTAGTTATCAATGGCTCGTTACCTTTCCCATGCTAATGTGTTGCTGTGTTGCTTCTCTGCATTAGATAGTAACAGATGACAACACAGGGTCAACTTCAAGGAAGTTGACCATTCAAGAGAAGGTTCACATGGCAGGAAGTGGACCAGAAGCTCTACGCCATGGGCCGTTAGTGTCAGGATAGCCCTCTGACGCACCGCTGGAGCCTGGGCTCTTAGTGCATCACGGCAGGCACACTCACGGTTAGCTGATGTTCTCAAGCCCCCGCCTTTGGTTTACTGCGTGCCCTCGAACAGAGGATAGGGCAATGTGTAATCAGTTCTGTGATAACTTCTATATCAAGCTGGAAGAGATAATACTAAATGAAATCAGCCAGAAGGAGAAAGACAAATACCGGATGGTGTCACTCTTATGTGGAATATAGAAAAACAAAGCAAAGTGTCAGATAAAGCCGAACTGAACCCCTTAAATCTTGACTGAAGGGGGCCATGAGAGGGAGAGGGACAAGAACAGAAGGAGCATGAGGGTGTGTGGTAGGGGGCTGTGGCTTCCTTTGTGGTGGGTACACCATGGCAACAATACCTGAAGGGGGGGGGGGACCCTACACTTCTATTATGGAAAAAATAATGTGATCCACATTAACTCAATAAGAAATATTTTTTACAAAGCAAGAAAATGTCCATACCAAACAAAAGAAAAATTGATGTGTAAAGCCAGTTGACAGAAATCCAGCCAGTTGTTCTGGAATGACTCCTGGCTGGAGGGGGCAGGTGAAGGCATCCCTCGTGGGTACTGAGTACTGGCTCCAGGGAGCAGGAGACACTGGCATGGCAAGCGGGGCCTGGACCTGGACCTGGGCCTGTGCTCCCCACAACCTGGGGACACTGTGCCGAGCAGTCATAACCAGGTGGGGGGCACTGCCTCAGTGTTTCAGCTGAAATGTCTCCCCCTGCCCCACAGGAGGGCCACCCTGAAGAGCCAGAAGCAGAGGAACAAGTTCACGAACAGCAGCCCCAGCAGCAGGAAGAGTACTGAACCGTCTTGGCAGCTCGCAACACTTCCATTTTGTGTGGGAACTTTTCTTCTGGAGAATTGGAACATGTGTGGCCTCAAGCTCAACAGAAACCAGTTGTTCCCAATCTGCCGTTACATCAACGCGCTGCTGCAAACGCCAGCCACCGAGCTCGGTTCCCATTTCCTTTGCCAAGACATATTAGCAGCCGGCCTTCTACCTGAGAGATCATGGGGTCACATACCTTCAACTTCACCACTTGGCTGCTTGAGAATGGTTCTGCTCTTTCATTTCTTTCCAAAACAACTCTTCCCTACCCCACCCCCACCACCCCACTCCCTTTCTATCCCGGTGTGAAACAATGGTAATTTGATATATGGTATTTATATTGGCATTTCTCAACCCAGTGTCACTAGATATCACACACATTTGTGGTGCTTTGATGTTTGCAAGTCTAACCTCTGAATATAAATTTGGTCAAATAATAAATTGGAACAAAGGGAAACAGATACTTGATATGAAAGCCATAATGACAGTGACTTGTTTCACGGGGAAAGACAGTCAGTTTCTCCCTCTACTTCCAACATGAAAGGGGAAAGAATGGGTTTGAAAGTAGGACTTCGGGGCCCAGCAGTGTTTTTATATCAGCATGTTAGACAACCACACAATCTGTTGTTAGTTTTGAAAGACATTCACTCAAAGAAAACCCCATCTCAACTTGGGCCTCTGAGAGCTTGGCCCTGCCCTCCCCCACCCAGGTTCTCATGCTGTTTTCTTTCTCAGGGTCCTCTTTTGTGGGCAACCACTCTCCCCAGGAAGCTGTCACCCCTCACTGCAGTCCAGACGGGTCTGCATAGGTACTGGTCCCGCTCCCTCTTTGTGTGGGTTTCAACCCAAATCCTGTCATCCACGGCATGACGGTGCACAGCCTGGTTTCAGGGTTCTGCATCAGGCTGCACACTTGCTGAAGGCTGACAGCAAAGACCTTTTTCACAGGAGCCTCATTCCCGGGGAGAATCCTGGCTCTGAAGGCTGGTGTTGACACTGGAATGAGAGCACAGGAAAAATCTATGACTCCCAGTTCCTTCTGGAATAAGGCACTTCCCCCCTTAGATACTGCAGCCCTCATTATCATTGACCTTTGCTAAACCATGGCAGTTCAAAAACAGAGGAAACATTAATGAATTTGAAGCATTCCTTATTTTTTTAAACTAACATTTGCACATTTTCTTAGTATCTTCCAAAGTCTTTGCCTTTTTATTTTTTTCCCCCAATGACAGATGGTATCCCTTCCTGGGTCCTTCATTTCACTTGGTTTCTAACTTTAGATTTACTTTCACTTGTTATTTGACTTAGCAGGTGCAACAAAAAAAAACATGAAACAAGTGTGCCCACCTCACTCTCCTCTTAACTGAAAAGCTTAAAATAAATTTCTGAATTATGTATCATAAAGCTTTGACATTTCTTTATTAATTGATGAAGTACTAATTCTAAATTCTAGCATTGAAGCTTTTCACAAAAGAAGTCTTCTCAAAATAAATCTTTTGCAGCAAAGTGGTATTTATTGAGTTATATGTGAAAGAGATTGCTTGTATTTTTGAGGTTCTTACAATGCACTGTGCAGAATTGGACAGAGGTTCTGTGGTGTCTGGTTTCCCTTTCTTCTCTCTCCTGCTTGCTCTGCGCTACAATGGCAGCTCCTTTCTCTCAGGCTGACAAGCCTGGCTCTCGGCAGTGACATCCTCCCGCACCTGGTTGCAGCCAGTGGTTGTGCTGTACGTAGCATCATGCTTCACGGTGTGTTCTTACACCCCAAACCCCCTTCCCACCCCCTCTACCCCAAACCTGTTGAACTCATTGATTTTCCTTTTTTTCAAAATAGCTCGTTAAATCATTACATGTGATGGCACTTCAGTGCTTCTAGGCAGTCCTTCCACTGCCCTAGACATCCCAGTAACACCCAGGGAACGTGGCTCGTGACCCAAACTCCCAGCATGTGGGTACACCAGAACAGAGAGGGCCCCTCCAGAAACCACTGGATGTTGTCCATTACATCAGCTCATCAGTGACATTCTCCCACAGCCCCAGCCTCTCAGTTATCAAACTATTGGCCGGAAATCTTAGCCTGTCAAGAGCACTTTCCCCAGTCATCATACTTCATTCTCCTTCCTGATGTCTTGGGGCAAACTAGTCATTGGCTTAAAAAAGAGCTCTAGATTCTTCTTTGTCCCCCATCTGAAATGTCTTCGTTGTGTTGCATCCCAGATGACATCACTGACACTCTGGGGAATCTCAGCTGCTGAGTTTCTCAGCCGGTCCTCTTTGGCTGCACCCCAGCTTTGCAGGCCTCATCTCACTCCCCAGGGCTTCTCCTTCCTCCTCTCTGCTCCTCCCTCTCTGAAACCAGATGTCATTCTTCATGCCCTTCACTCACACCCACTGTGGCTGTTATAGCACTTCCACTGCTTAGTCAGATAGGAAGTGATTGAAGCAGGGGGCAAAGAGAGCCCATCTTCTTCCTAAGCAGAAAAGCAGAAAAAGAAAAAAATACAAACATCCTGTTGACAGAGAGAAGTAAACTCCAGAAGGGAACCAAGAACTCCTCCCTTCCCTGGTGAGTATTTCCATTATTCCGTTAAGGTTTAATATGCATTCAAATTACTTTTACTAAATAGTACACCATAAAGCTTTTGTTATATATTAAATGTAAACTGAAAGGAATGTAAACATATGTATTGTTAATTATAAATATAGATAAGCAATGACATAATAGATGAAAAAGTCTTATTCAGATGTATCACATTCATTTTACATCACCCACCTATTGTCGCATGGTAGAATAGTTTTTTTGTCTCTGAATATGTGAATAACTTGACTTGCGTTTATCTTTTTACATATTTAATAAAAAAAGTATAAGTTAAAATCAGCCTGGATCTATCATTTTTTAAATCTTTATGCTGAAAGCTTCCTTTTGATTGACCATGAGTATAGTCATAGGATATATGGATTCACACGTTCAGTGTAATTTACACAGAGCCGGGGAGTCTGCTTTTATAGATGGCAAATGTTTTACAGGAATTACAGATTAGTATTAATATCAAATGTAGCAGCTCTAATATCTTTTTTAAAAATACCCAAAAACATAGCTGAAAATGTGTGACTTTCTAGCTCTGAATCATATACAGTATTATAACCCGGTGTCATCTCTATGAAAAATAATGAAGTGAAAAAAAAAATAGTGAAATAAGAATCTCTAAAGAGTTGTCCAAAATTAAATAAAGATAAGTTATTCCCTTAGGAAACATTCCATTTGCAAGCAAGCCGAATCCTAGTTCCCAAAGGTTCAGCCTGCTCCATCTGGATGAGACGGGCCTACCAAAAAGGAAACTGGGAGAAGCTGGCAGATGTTTCATATAAAACTGTGGCACAATGACCACTTGTTGGCAAAAGCTCTTTGGGTTCCCCCCACTCCAGTTTGTTTACTTTCATAAAAAGTGATGATTTAGGGACATAAGATACATGGAATTCAAAACCTCACAGGCACAGACAGAGGTGAAGAAAAGTCTCAGAAGTAGCCCAGGGAGCCACCTGTCGAAATTCGAGCAGGTGACAGACTGAAGCTTTTGCCTGTCTCAGGAGCCTGCAGTTCACTGAGGTGCCCCCTCTCCTGAAGGATGCCAGACTTCCCTCAACTGCTTCAAGCACCACCTAGAGGCCGCTTTTGTTTCTATATGTCCCAGGCAACTGTTTTCCATTCATTTGCCTTTAGGTGCTGCTAAGAGCAGAGAACTAGGAAAATAAACAAAGACAGGATACTTCCTGCCATCCATGTCTACTCTCTTCTCTGCAGGGTATCTTTGGACAAGTCTGAGCAGTTACCGGGATTGTAAGGTCTCACGCTCAAAGCAACTGCATTTTCCACTCAATTCATGAACCCTGGGGTTTTAAACACTAGATCTTACACACAGATGATTGTGTCCAAATAAAAATATGGTTTATTTGAAACGCACACACGGTTGGGCTCTAGTAACCATACTGCTAATCATTCAAAGGTGGTGAAATAACATGTTTCATCCATAATCTGAAGAGCATCTCTAAAGATCTAATGTGTTCCTGTGAGTCCAGAGGTTCATGTAAATCCATGAAATGAGTGATAGATGCCATTTCTCTAAAATTAAACACACACCACTTCATTTCTGACCTCTCCCTCTTCACCACTAGACCAGCTCTCATCATCGTTGCTGCTGCCCTTACTAGCAATCCCTAATGCAGTTTCTCAGCTCTAACACAATGACGCCAAGCACGAATGTGAGAGCCGAACATCTCCTTGGATGTTGAACTCCGTTTTGCTGAAGTAGGAACTCAAGCATTCTCTTCATTAGAAGAGGCCTGGGTTTACTGCCATGGAACCCTGGAGGGCCCTGGTAAGACCAAGACCTTGGATCACAAGACCATCCAAGGGGAGACCCTGCCCACTCTTGAATCAGACAGCACACACAGAGGTGCTGTGCCAAGGACTGGCCACCTGTGATGGGTTTGGGATTGTAGCACCAGTGAAAGTCCCAGCTGAAGCTGATGTGTTGAGTGCCTTTGTCTCCTAGCCAATGAAAGGAAACGCTGCACCTTTCAGCTTGTTTTAGTTTCTTAAATAGTTGTGTTAATGGTTATTACAATTTTATCAAGACAGTTTTTTCCAAAGGTAATAACATTAACGTTCTTTCAACTTAAAATATTCAGTAGAAATGAGTCCAGTATCTAAATGTACTCTCTTCAAGGAATAAAAATGCAAATTTACATTGCCTTCAATGTAGCAGACATTCCTCATATTTTTGCACTGGTATTGATGTCTTGAAGGTTATCTATATAAGAAACTTTTTTTTAAGATGTGTTTATCTTATTCACTAAAATGTTCTGGTCAAAGCTGACAGCTTCAATGAATGTTTAGAAATCAGGGAAGTAATGAATAGGAAGTGTATTCAGAATTTTGATGTGATCCAAATTCACATTACTACTAGAACACACCTTCCCACTCTGATACATTTATTATACAAATGAAATGTGTTCGACCAATGAACAATTTTATAACCAGCTTGAAAGATTTTTCTTTTTTAAAGTAGATCACAGAAAATCAGTTTAAATATCAGTGTATCACCTGAGCTTAAAAAAAAAAAAAAAGGTGGAGAAGGAAAATGTAAACTCCCCTCCTGACCTTTTTCAATTCTTCTTAAAAGAATGCTTTCAAAATTATTTTCACAAGATGCTGACTAGTCGTTAGCTGAGATATTGTCACTATGTCATCCAAGATGATTCTGATTTTCTTCCTTTTATAATGTTGACATCATTTACTGAAGGATGAAAAACTCCCCTTAAGCTAAAGATGTAATAGGCATAGAATGAATGGTTGAACTTGCCATACCCACAATAGATCTCACAGGGTTCAGATATAATACTTTTTCTCTTCTCTTAGAACATAATGTTGGCAATTGACAGACCTGTGGCTATATCCCACCACTTTTACTAAATAAAGATTTTATAGTGTTAGGTTAGCCTGAGCTATAACACACAATTTTGTTAGCCACTGAGTATTTAGAAGAGGGCCCAAACATAGCTGAGATCACTCATAATAGCCTGTTTACATCCAACTTAAAAACAGTACCTTCAACCACACAGCTATACACAAAACATTGTGAAATAACCTCATTTAACTCCTGAGAAGAGGACAGTCTCAATCCAGCACACTTCACAGGATGTCCTGTTACTTGAACTGGTTTCCAAGCAGCCTTCATTTTCTCATGTGAGTGCTACCTTCCACGAAGAAAAAGTGGTGAATTTTTATTTATTTATCTATTTATGCATACAGAACTGGGGTACTGGCCAGAGATCAGGGGTGGTGAGAGGATTCACCAGAGACAGAGTGGGGAGCAGGACAGATTGTCAAAGTACACTGCTGAGGGGAGCAGCGGGCAAGACAGGAGAGGTCTGCCGCACCATGTGGGTCACCTCTGGGACGGGGGATCCCAGCACACACTGAAGCAGTGCAGCTAACTTGCAGTGCTGCGCCCTAACCCATTGTGCCACCACAGAGGGCCCACAAGTGATGAATTTATGTGTAGATGTTACCCCAGTGCAATGCTTTTGGTTCTCATGCTTTTGGAAATCCAGAAGTGCTGTACCTATCAAAACTGCATTAACCATTCGGCTCCCACCTGACTCTCTTAGTCTTTTCCATGGGAGTCCTATTTTTCTTCTAAATGAGAGGTGGAGAATGGATAAAGGGACAGTGGTATGAGAGATGGTCCTCTGGATGATTTTTAAATAATCCTACACCCTTCAAATCATTTGTTCCTGTTTTGACTAGTGATTGGGGACTTGACCACTATTACCCCAGGCCTGACTGACAAGAACAGGCTGGCTTGAGGCAGGAGCTGAGTGCTCACTTCATAGGACAGGCCCGGGGAGAACCTGGGGGTCTAGGGTAGAAGCCACAGCTGATAGAGGCGGGCATGAGGCAGAAAGCCAAAGACCTAGCGAGAGGCTGCCACCCAGGTGGACCCTTCCTCATGGCTCTGAGGAGCTCGTATGTAGATGGTCTTGGTCATTTGCCCATGAACTTTGCCCCTCTGGAAAAACCAAGTCCTGGAGACCAGAGAAGGAACTGACTGCTGCTTCACAAAAAGGCTGTTTATCCCTGCTCACATTTCTTACTGAATGTGTATGTTCAAATGTTGACTCAACTGTCCCAAGAAGAAATTGGAGGTGGATATCATCAAATGTCACCTCTCTGTAAATTTAAAATATATATTCAAGAAAACTGCTGATTCTACCTCAGAAAATTTTAATCTAAAAAAAAACTCATGAAGGGATGGTATAATTTTTGACTTTTCCACCAATTAAAGAATTTTTAAAAGTTGAGCACCAATTATGGGCAAATCACATCTATCAATAGTAACATCTACTCCTAAAATAGCAAGTCCCTACCCCTCAGTTATCCTAAGGGAATTGTACAGAAAAGGGTATTCCGAACCTAACTTAGTCCAAAAATGTTAACTGAAGCAATTCACATTATTTTTTTCAGGCAATGTTTTATATATAAGTGAAGGAATTGGAGTGAAAGACTCGGAAGGAAGAAAGGAAGTAAATGAAGTCAGAAGTACAGTCAGGAACTTCACAAATGTCCTGAGGTCTTCTAGACTTTACTAGAACCAGGGTTGGAAAACTTAACTCTGAGCTTCTTTGTTGCCGACACAGAGAAGGAAGAAATCATGACTCACGTGAATGTGTCCATAAGCCGAAAACAAATCAGTTGCTTAGGAGTGCAGGTACTTAAACCTTAGAGAAATTTCTCCATGGCTCCTCCCAGGAAGAAATTAAATGATGCAGTGAGCCTGACCTTCAAAGCCTCTCACAGCAAGTACAGTAACAGTCCAACAGGCCGATCCCTGTTAGTCATCAGGACTCTCCTTGATGACCTAGTGCCAGAACAGTGCAGTGCAAAGCAACCTACCCAGGACCAAAGGTGTGTATGGAAATATATCCCAGAGCATCAGGAAAACGCGGTGTCCTGGAGAACGGGGGAGTCCACCCAGACCCCGCTGTGCAGCTATCTTTAGGTGCAATGTGGTCTACTCCCCGTCCTCGGCCAGAGGGAGCTGCTGAATGCTGCTGCCCACGGCTGTTTTCCTAAGAGCAGGCACAGGCTGGGGCTGAGCCCATGCTGCAGGCCGGGGAGCCTGGCCAGGTCATGGCAGAGGAGGATACCAACACAGGCTCACAGCTTTTCCAAAAAATACAAGGAATATTGAATTAGGAGTTTGTTTTTGTTTGTTTTTGAAATTACCATTGGCAATTTACTGATTGGACAACTTCCAGTGTAGTTTGTAATGTAGACTGTAAATACTAACTTACTGGCTCTTACTCTCGTGA